GAGCACTGGGTGTTATACGCAAACAATGAATCATGGAACACTACATCAAAAACTAACGATGTAATGTATGGTGATTAACATAACATAATAAAATTAAAAAAATAAAATTAGCGATGGCCTGGTCTAGATGGATCTTTGCTCTGCTGCATCACCTCTTGTCCTGTAAGATGGTAATCCTTTACTGTACCAGGAAGAGAGTGTTTCCGCTGTGACTAACAGTGCATTTCTTCTGAAATAGGCATTATTCATCCAGCCGTGTGGGGGTTCAGCACCTTGGGCCTTTCTTTTGAGTTTTCTTTGCATCTCTGCCTGTTTGTTCTTCTTTTTGGTGAGGTACTTAAAATTATTTCAGGTGTCCTTGCTTTCTTCTTTCCTTCTCTCCCCTCACTTCCCCCCTCTTGGTTTAGCTCATTATTTTTGAAATTTATTTTCTTTGCTTCAGAGCATGTTTATTGTTTTGAAGGGCTTAGTTAGGACACGCACTGCATATCACTTTTTTTTTTAAAGAGTTATTTATTTTAGAGTGAGTGCGCAGGGGCAAGGGGCAGAGGGAGAGAGAGAAACTCAAGCAGACTCTCTGCTGAGTATGGAGCTTGAAATGGGGCTCAGCCTCACTACCCTGAGATTATGCCTAAGCTGAGATCAAGAGTTGGATGCTCAACTGACTGTGTCACCCAGGCACCCCTATTTTTTTTGGTGTGTTTGTGTGCAAAAAAATGGTTTTTTAAAGCATGGGGACAGGACCCGTGGGCAGAAAGAGCTGCTCATTATTTTTAAATGCACTTCAACCTGTCTATGAAGTCAGATAAGGCCTGGGGGAGACGAAAACACTCTGATGGCTTTGAGGCTGATAAAAAGATTGAGGAAGAAACAGGGCATTCTGGGTAAGGTGAATGTTTTGTTTTCTCTGCACATTTCAGCCTATTTAGCACAGATAAGCATGAGTACTCCAGAATCAGTGGTGTGATCAGTCAGTATAATTGATAATGTTCTTAAATTTTGGACAGCTATTGAATTGATGTGTGTATTTTGTGGCTTTTATTTTTTAATGGAGGCTCTATAGGTAGAGGAAGGAAACAGTGATACAGATAATATTTGCTTTCCACATTTACTCTTTTTAAAAAAGATTTTATTTTTTTGAGAGAGAGAGAGCAGGAGTGGGGGGAGGGGAATAGGGAGAGGGAGAAGCAGACTCCCCATTGAGGACGGAGCCTGATGTGAGGCTCAATCGCAGGACCCTGGGATTATGACCTGAGCCAAAGGTAGATGCTTAACCAACTGAGCCACCCAGGTGCCCCTAAAAACATACTATATAAACTTTTTAAAAAAGATTTTGTTTATTTTTTTGACAGAGAGAGAGAGCACAAGCAGGGGGAGTGCAGGGGAGAGGGAGAAGCAGGCTCCCTGCTGGGTGTGGGGCTCCATCCCAGGACCCTGAGATCATGCCGTGAGCTGAAGGCAGATGCTTAACCGACTGAGCCACTCAGGCGCCCGTGCTGTATAAATTTTTTAAAAAGATTTTATTTATTTTCTTGAGACAGGGCAAGCAAGTGAGAGAGCAAGGGAGGGAGAAGCAGACTCTCCGCTGAGCAGGGAGCCTGGTGTGGGGCTTGATCCCAGGACCCTAGGATCATGACCTTAGTTGAAAGGCAGGCACTGAACCCACTGAGCCACCCAGGTACCCCAAA